GTCAGTGCTTGACTGTGGTGGTCAGGTGGACACGGTATATATGGATATGTCAAAAGCCTTCGATACGATGTGCCACCAACGCTACTGTACAAACTGCGTGTCTTCGGATTCGGAGGTAACTTACTTCGGTGGTTTAACTCTTATCTAACCAACCGACGTCAAAGAGTGACTGTGCTCGGAGCGATGTCCTAACTTTTCCCATCACTTCCCGAGTTCCTCAGGATCCATCTTGGGAACGGCTCTGTTTCTGCTGTATGTTAACAACTTGCCAGACGCAGTAGATAACAGCCGCATCGCTATGTTTGCCGACGATGCGAAAGTATTCAAGCCGATCAAATCCGTTGGAGATGTTGCTGTACCTTGTGGTGGAACAGACCTCCGTCTCTCCTTCAATGAGACCAAATGCAAGTCCCAGATGATCACGAGAAAGATTCACCCTGCTGTTTCGTCATATATCATCAAGGAAAGCCCTCTGGAGTGCGTGACGATCGAATGCGATCTTGGGGTTTACGTATCAGATGATTTGACATGGAGCCATCATGTAAATGAACAGACGGGCAGAGCTAATAAATTGTTGGGATACATTAGGCAATTAATTAATAAAATCTTCCTTCTATCACTATATTGCTATTTTCATGTCTCTAACTATGCAAGCTGTTAACTTGTTAAGAATAGGGATTTAGAGGGGCAGGATAGTTTTCATAAGCCTTCCAAAGCTCAGTTTGGGATTAGAACACAAAGTGCAGGTAACAGTTTTTAAATTATCAAGTTAGTGCAAAATGTTTAGGGCTCAACAAGACCAGTGCCATCTGGCCACTTGCCCCAGGGTGCTGGAGGGCAATGAAAATGCTTGTCACTTGACTTGTTTAAACCCTAACCCTAAACCCTGACCTAACGGTAACCCTAACCCAACTGGAACCCTAACTCAACTGGAACCCTAACCCAAGTGTAACCCTAACATCAAAATACTGGAAAAAGGTCAATCGATTTCTGCAACCCCAACCCTAACCATTGGGTTAAGTCGAGACTCGCCATAGCTGTCTCCTGAGGGTATCAAATACCTTAGTCAGTTGATTTTAAACTTTTTCTTTATCTAATTTTAAGATAAATACTCGAACTACACAAGATACAACCCTAAGACGCTTAATGCACTTAACATTGGTTTGGCAGCTGTTCGGTTATGCCTCGCAAATTTGGGCACCCCAATCCGTGAATCTCATCTCTTGTATTGAGAGAAAGCAAGCGCGTGCAACTAAATACATTCTGAAATTGCCTTTTTTTTAAGCCCTGTTTCTTATCGTTGAAGTTGCTTCCCATAACATATTGGCACGAATACCTTGATATGGTATTTTTCTTTAAACTGACCCACGGTCTTGTTAAAGTAGATAC